TTGAAAAAAATAGGGGTATTAAGAAGAGAAAGAAAAAAAATAAAAAAGGAGAGGAAAGAGGGAGAAGAAAGAAGGGGGGGGGGGGGAGGGAAGGAGGACACACTGTTTAACTTTCTTGGTGTCTGTGACAAAAATTACAGTGAAAAACTACAAAAAATGGACATAGGCCTACATGTATGTGGAATTACTTTTTCCAGCATCAGAAAGACTACTTTTTCAGTTGCAATATTTTTCCAACAAATCTTAATTTTCAAGAACATATGCTAGGAATAATATAGAATCTATGACAATGTGTTTTTCAATTTTCACCACAGAAACATATAAGTCATGTGATCTACAGGCTACAGTGATCATAGATTTGAAGGGGCTGGATTGAAGTCAATTGCTGGAATCAGGAAACAACATAAATGTAGGCTGTCAAGTCTGTTGATGGACAAGAGAAAAAGCAGACAATTTACAAGGTACCAATACACAAATTTTTGAATGACTACTGTTGCAAAAACAGTCCAAAATAAAGAAACAAGATGCTCAAAAAGCCAGACAATATTTGATTTTAAGATTACGCCTGCCAAACAGAGGACACAAGGACAAAAATGAGGACATATCCTCCTTTTGCCAGAAGTCTGGTAACCCTCATTCACAAACAAATTACTGGAAAATAGATTCCAAATCAGTATTAGGAAAAATGTATTGAAAGTGATATGCTAAAAGTTAACAAAACTTAGAAAAAATGTTGTATCCTTAGTACACTAGTTGTGGGGGATGGGCCAACAATAAGTTGCCTTGCAAAATAGTCTCAAAATCCCAGCTTCCATAGAATAATGTGAGCATGCTTGAAATAAAATGGGTTTGTTGCACTTAACAGCATGCTTAGCTCTAATGCGCCAGAACTGACTGATACAGGTAGTCCTCGACTTACAACCATTCAAAGTTATGATGGCGCTGAAAAAAAGTGACAACCAGTCCTCGCACTTAGAATTGTCACAGTGTCCCTGTGGTCACGTGATCGAAATTCAGGCACTTGGGAATCAACATGTATTTACAGTGGTTGCAGCATCCCACGGACACATGATCGCTATTTGCGACCTTCCCTGGGGGGTTTCCGATAAGCAAAATCAATGGGGGAAGCTGGATTCACTTAACAACTGTGTGATTTGCAAAACAACCATGGCAAAAAAGGTCATAAAATCGGGCGCAACTCACTTAACCGCATTGCTTAGCAATGCAAGTTCTGGTCCCAATTGTCATAAATCGAGGACTACCTGTACTCTCTTCCCCTTTATCAGGGAATGCTGCATGAAGCTTGGGAACAACTAAATCTGGTGTCTCGACTCACTAAAAAGGTTGCATGAAAATTTCAGTTGGCCAAAGCCATGATGAGGCAGAGGTCAGTATCTACGGTCCATTTGGTAATGATAATGGCATATGGAAGATTGTTACTGGGAAGGTAAGAGGAATGCATGAATTAATGAACAAAATGGAAAAAAAGAGAGAAAGAAAAATGCTTTTGTATTCACATGTTGGCATGTTGTTGATTGAGAATCCAAACTACTGGCATGAAATGTTTCATAAATGATATGATGAAACATATCAAACACCAATGCACAGCAGCATCTGCAGAAAGAACATAGGGAAGCAGAATGATGAAAGTGGCTTCATGGTGATACAATGTAAACCCTACCTCTTTTGTACATGGATCATGACACTGCATGTATGTACAAAAGAGGCAAAGCTTGCTTTATTAGGTGATACCATGACACTGCTGTCATCATTTTGATAAAAGCAGCAAGCTCCTGCAGATGCTGCTCCCGCTAAAGTAGTTATGTTTGACAGGAAAAACGGAGTGAACAATTGCAAGTTATACATAAATGAGGAGAAACTAGAGCAAGTAGATGAATTTCTGTAATGATCACTTAAGGTGGGAAATGGAGAAGTTTTAAGATAAGCAAATGCTGAGAGGTAGTGAATCCGTTTGGTCTGCTTGAAGGAATCCTTGCTGAAAGAAGTGAAAATATCTGCACATGAGCATTTCTGCTCACTTTGTTGTATGAAAAATGAAAGTGAAGTATGGCAGGAAAAATAAAAAAATTGAATGGGACACTTCAGTGTGTGGTAAAAGAAAAAGGGTTAAGAAAGAAAGGGTGCTGTGTGTACGTGGACTGAATTCAGAAATGGGTGAAAGTATGAAAGAAGTACATTGAGGTGATTTCATAAAGAGGAATGAAACACAAAAGAAATATACCGTATGAAGGAAAAGGGAGAACCAACAAAGATGGAGTTGGATGGAGTTGACAAGATCTTTTTAAAGAACAAAAAGCAATGGAAGAAGTGATGGAAGCAAAAATAGTTTGCAAGAATATGGACTACTTTAGTCATTAGAGTTGGTGTAAATTGGTTTGAATTATATTTCCTTTTCTTTTTCTTGTCTTTAATTTCTTTAGCTACAACATTCCTCATGAGCATAGCTGGAGAAGGATGAATAAGGTCAGGCAATGAGTCTCAAACTGAGGGTCATAACCCCCCCCCCCGGGAATTGAGAGCACATTTGATGGGGTGGGCCAAAATTGTTTGGGGCTTCCATGTGCAAAGCACTATCTTATCTAATGCCCACTCTGAGCGAACAAGCTGATAGCAAAGTCAGGATTTAATTCAGTTGCTGCTATGAAAAGCAAATATTAATCCAAAATAAAGGTGGAATGAGAAATTCGAGTAGCTGCCTTAAAAATAAAACCCAGATTTCACCAATTATGCAAAACTGAGCAAGCTCATTCTTATTTTTAAATGTTTTCGATTTTATTTACATATTTGTAGTCCACCCCAATCCCATGACTCTGTCTTGTGTATGACAATGTGGGAAAAACAAAACAAACAAGCAAAGCATGCATAGCACGCAGGATGCCCACCGTCAGGGCCAAAGTTGCCGTGGAATAAAAATGTTTTAATCATTTTGTGGAACGTAAGGAGGGAGCGTGCTAAATGTACATTCAAGGGAAGCTTTTTCTAGAGCATGGGGGCCAATACAAAAAAGGCCTGCCACATAACACAGGCTGCTTGTATTTCCTGTGGAGGGGGGACTCTCCTCAGGCTCTCAAAATGTTCAGACCAGAAAGGCAGAATCAATTTGGCTGTTCTGTTATCTCCAGTGAAAACATTTTGTTTTTAAAGTGACACGGTTCTATTAGTTTTATTTGATATATGGATTAAAATTTAATGATTAAAAGTAGTACATTTGTTTCTTGGCCAGTGCTAACCTGAATAAAATCATTAGTTTCATATATGGGAAGATGTCACACAATTTATCATTTTAGGGGACCTCAGCACAGAAGAATTTGAGAACCCCTGCTTTTTACCTTTAAATTCCATAGTACATTTTGCTAAAAGTAATACCGAGAACATATACTGCAGAATAAAGATCACACACCAAAAAGGAACTATAATTCTTATACCAAATCCATAATTCTATGTTACATACATTTTAAGCTTAGTCATCACCCTAAATCAAACTATACAAAATAAGGTTATTAATACATTTGCATATACATTCTCTCAATAACTTCAGATAAATAATTACATGGGGAAAAACACTTGTACATTTTATATTTTTATTTTTAAAAGTAGTAATTCCATATCACTTGTAAAGTTTACATTCAGTGACATGATAATATTCTTATAAGCAAGAGCATGTATTACAAATGTTAATCATTTTATCTCTTAAAAATAAATCAGAGATACAAATTATGATTTAAAGAAAAGAAAGCTTATCGATACATATGTTATCTATCTTTGTGAATGATAATATAAAAGGGATTAGGAGATATGAGGCCCATCCAAACCTGACATTATACTATTATAACAAAATCATATTGAAATCAATGCAATTTAGTTCCAAGTAATAGTTAGAATAAGATATACAAAAATATGAACAATAGTGAAAAATTTGGAACTTGTGATAATAGAATTATAGAGTTGGAAGAGGCCATTTAGGGTATGAAATCCAAACACCTATTCAGTGCTGGAATCCAAATTAAACCATCTCAGATGGCTCTCTGCATGAACACATCCCTCAGATGAGAGCCCACCGCCTCTCATTTCACCCATTCCACTGTCAAACTAATATTCATCCATCCATCCATCTTATATGGCCGCCCATCTCATGAAAAAGGGACTCTGGGCAATATAAAAATATAAAACAGTAATATATAAAAAACAATTACTATCCAGAAAATTTTAAAAATTGTGACTAAAGGTTAAGAGAGGGCAGCAGATATCAACAACAATAGAGCCACCTCAATACCTCAATATTACTGTTAGGAAAATGTTTCTGATACTTAATAGGAACCTGCCTCTTGTTACTTAAATCAGTTATTACTAATTAAATTGACTATCATGAGAATTAACAGGTCTTGACTTTCTTCCATGTGACATCCTTCCAGGTATATGAAGAGGGTTATTACACCCCCCTCAACCATCTTTTCTCAAGATGATCACACCTAGCTCTTTCAATCTCTCTTCAAAAATCTTAGATTCTAGTCCCATGATCATCTTTGCTGACCTTCTCTGAACCTGTTTCAATTTCTCTGAATCCTTAAAGTGTACTGCTTAGAACCAGACATAGCACAAGAGAAACAGAGTGGACTGATTACCTCCCATGATTTGGAAATTATACTTCTGCTTGATGTTGTCTAAAATTGCATTTGCCTTCTTTGCAGCCACATCATACTAATGGTTCATATTTGGTTTTACCTCTCACAAGCTTTCCATAATATCTATGCATTAATAGTGTATACAGTTGAATTCTGACAGTGTTTTTCTCAATTTTGTATCTATCATGTACGAAAAGTCAGTTTATGTAACAACATGCTCCATTCTAGAAAGCAGAAAATCATTTATTTATACCAATACAACTGCATTTAAAATGTTACACAAAGTATTCCTAGATGAATGATAGAAAATTTTCATTAGAAAGACAGCAGCTTCAGGAAAGATATTTGAAACATATCAAAAAAGCGTTTCCATTTGGGAATTTATATCACCACATTATCTTATAAACAGGATCTCCAACCTTAAGCGTCCCTGTTTTATCAACTCCGAAGTACCACCCGAAGAGAGGACTTGATCGGTATAAATGCTTTTCAGAAGGATCACACAAACGGTAACTATTAAAAAAAATGAGATCACAATGAATCACCCATAAAATAGTTAACTGTGCTTGTTTTCAAATAAGCAAAAAGGGAAACATTATAAGAAGCTGACAAATATATGATTCCTAGAGGCCTGACGTTCCAGATTGTTACTAAATCTCACAGTCACAGTAGTAACAACTAATTTTGAAAGCCTAAAATCAAAGCTTCAATTTTAAACTTATTTGTTAGGGCTACAGTTAAACTGAACTCAGTGGGGCTTTAATATAACATGCATGTTATGATATTGTACTTCATTTTTTAAATTAAATCCTATTTATTTCTACTATTAGGAATAGATTATTAAGAATATTAAAAGGGACAACTAAGCAAGTCAACCAGAACATTGTACATAAACTACCTAACTAATTTCATTAACAGACTCCATAGTCTGTTCAAATTCAGAAAATGAGGCAATTCTGCTAATGCATGGGCTCCAACCTTCTCCAGCTTGGTTCCTCCAGGCACATTGGGAATGTAGCTGCCAGCCAGGAAGCTGCAGTATGGAGGATGCCAGACTGTGGAATGTGGTTCTCAATAAAATGCTAGCCTTGCAAATGTGCAAAGATAATTGCCACCACAGTTGAGAGAACCAGGATTCATAGTCAGGCACATAATAAGATTTTTTTTCGTGCCTTCAAGTTAGTCTTGGTTCCTGGCAACTGCCTGGAGAAATCCCCAGTGTTTTATTGGCATCATTTTTGGAAGTGGTTTGCCACTGCCTGCTTCCTAGGGCTGAGAGAGAATAACTGGCCCAAAGTCATCCAGCTGGCTGCATTTTAAAGCAGGACTAGAACTCACCATCTCCCGATTTCTAGCCCGGTGCCTTAACCACTACACCAAACTGGCTCTCATCAATTGTGTTGAAGACACCAAAATATTTTATTACCTTTTCAAAGTATCAAGAGGCTCTTTTCTGTCTATGATGCCAGTATCTGGATCAACAGTTGTCAAAATACACCTACAATGAGAAAGCAGAATGAAGTAACAGCAGCCTTAAATTTTTTTTCGCCATGAAATACATTAACAAAAAATGCATACCTGGGACAGGCTGCTGCTCCTTTCATTTGTACACTTCCAATTATAATATCATTCCAGGTGTCCTACAAAAATATAATGCATTTTATTTCTTACTGATCCCAAGCAATTCAACTTGTTCGTATGAATTCTGTACTATTATGAGCTTTCTCACATGAATGTGAATGAGACCAATAAAAGAGAAGAAGAATAATGCTTTTGAGAGGTGCATTTCATAGGTGAAGGTCAGATGCTCCCTAGTTTGAGTTTTAACTGTTTAATTTTACAGAATATCAATTTGATATACAGTCTGAAAATAAAGTGATATACATAGGAAGGACTTAATGTCTGTACATTATAGCTACTTATACCTGTACCTGCAAAACATTATTCAATGCATTGCAACTTATACGACCTGAAGTTCTGTTTCATAAAAGGTGTTTGCTTGCCTATCCGGGGCAATTTTACTTGGAACATTCCCACTGGCAGAAAGTATGGGGAGAATTCCTACCTTTTTCAGTTCCCACACCAGCTCCCCAATTTTCAGGAAGTATCCTAATCCTCCAGAATTGATTTTGGATGAAGGGCATTGGGAAAAGAAAGGAACCAGAAAAAAATTCATGCTGGATCAGAAGACTTCTGCAAGTTTGCCAGCAAAGAAGCAAATTTTGGAACTATCTATCTGTCTATATATGGGAGGGAAGGAGGGCAGGCAAGCAAGCAGAGTATGCTACTTGGCTGTTATAGGAATCTCATCAGCACTACTGTAGTAATTTCTCCAAATGCTCCTTTTTGCTACATGTTAGAATGACAATACTATTTTTTGGAATAAACATTACTTATTAAAACTAACCTTTAACCCAATCTAAAGCTTCAGACTCCTGGAACTCTGGCTTGCCTAACAACTTCTTGGTTTTCTCCAAAAAAGATTTTTCATATACTTTTAAGTCCTATTATTCAGTATAAGTAAATCAGGCATCTTAATGTATAGCTTCATCTTGCATTTTATGCTTTACCACTGATTTTAGGTATGATTTCTCCTTGAGTCTGGAACTCTGTTGTGGCCAAATGAAGAGCAGATTGATATTTCCACTTGCCAGGATAGGGGAAATGACTGACATCAGAACTTTTCATTGAAGAAAGTGACAAAAATGTTCTATTCAGCCCTGGTTAGCATTCTTTCTTTTACTTACACCAGACATCCTCCCCCCACCTTCAACCAACTTAGGAATATACTCAAGAAAAAAAGTTTCCTTTCACTGTCGAAAGAACCAGCAATAACATGCACTTTCCCCCAATCTAATGCCTGCTGTAGATTCATTTTCTAGACTTCCCACCCAGCCTCTTGGCTGACTCATACAAGGGACACCAGTTTAAGAAAATGTTATTAAGCAGCTGCATGCATATGTAAGTGCAAAGTTATTCTTTGTGTAAACAAAAAAATCATGTCCTGCATTACCTCCTCATGAGGACCACAGCCAGTGACCAAAATGCTTGGCCTGAAGTTATGCACTTGAACTTTCTTCTCCATTCTGGAATTAAGCTCTTCTAAAGAAGCTTCGGAAAGGAGCATGACAGGACTACAGTCAGAATACGCAATCTAGAGAGGTATATTCCATAAGTGAACAATGTCAAAACATCCAAACAAAATGCAGAGAGATTGTCAATTTGTAGGACAAAGGGAAGCAGCTCCAAAATAATTGTCTGTACAGGTGGTCTTTGTTTAATGATCACTTGTTCAGCAACCATTCAAATTTATGACAGCACTGAACAAGTGGTAGTTACGACCGGTAACTCAGAGTTCTGACCATCGCAGAGTCCCCATGGTCACATGATCATGATCTAAGCACTTGGTGCCCGGATCGTGATTATGACATCACAGTGAGCCATGGTCACATGATTGTGATTTCTGACATTCCCTGCCAGTTTCCTACACCCAAGTCAGTGGGGAAGTTGGCAGGAACTCAGAAGTCACCATCACATGAGGTCCTTACTTAAGGACCCACATGGTCCTTGCTTAACAACAACTGGAATGCCATCACTAAGCAGTGCAGTCATGTGACATTGCGCTTTACAACTGCGCTGCTTAGTGACAGCAATTCCACTCCCAATTGCCGTTATTCACCAAGGACTACTTGTAGTATCTGGTAGCCCCATCAAATAGTGTGTTAAAATATTTATTATTAAATTTATATCTAACTGCAGCCATTTACTGAAGAAAAAGTAGACAGATTCTTCACATTATAATCATATCTATTTAAGTTTTGCAACAAAGGACCCAGCCAGCCACCACTCAGAAATTGACTATCAAGGCTGCTCTCCTTGCAAAGTGATCTTGCACACAGTGGTACTTTTTTAAACACTTATTCCATTAAATGTCTTTTAGCACCAATCTCAATTCCTAAGCAGAGAGTATATATGTGTTTATTAAAAAAAAATAATGACATCTTTAACTGAAACTTAACTGCAGTTTTCTTGGCAGCATTATGGAAATAGTTTGACACTGGCTTCTTTTGGGATTTTTTTGACTTCCCAGTCCTCCCTATTGCCCTGGTACTTCCTGGTATCCTCTCATTCAAATACTAACTAGCTCCAACTCTGCATAACTTTTTGAGATTGGCTGTGTTTGCATATGTATAAATAAATGAATATGACCAGGGAAATCATTTTAAGTACAGGATACTAGAGGACATGAGTTGAAAAGATCCACTATAACTGCAACATGTACCACAGATCATTACAATTACAAGGCATTCTCTCACCTTATCAGTGGGACGAAAAGGTTCCATTACATCTTTTGAATTCCTTGGAATCATATTTGGTTCAAAACAAACCAAACGGTATGATTCTGACTTTAGGTAGGCTGTAATCCATTGAGCGGCATCTTCTCCACAATCTCTGCCTTGAATATCAAAGCCAAATAGCCTAAAAGAATTGGGAAAAGCATCAATAAGATCTCTGCTAGTCACTACAATTATATTTAATAGAATCATAGAGTTGGAAGTGACCACAGAGGTAATGTGGTCCAACTGCCTGCTCAGTGCAGGATTCACTGGAGAATCTCTGACAGATGACCTTCCAGCTTCTATTGGAAGACCTCTAGCAAAGAAGAAGCCACATTTCCACTGGCTGGCAGCTCATATAGTCAGAAAGTTCTTCCTAATGTCTAGTCTGAACTTCCTTCCTTATTGTTTTAACCCACTGGTTCTCATCCTGGTTGTTTTAACTCATTGATTCTGGGACAGTAGAGATAAGTCCACTCTCTCTTCTATGTGACAACCCTTTAGATGTTTGAAGACTGTATCCTCAAAAGGCTTGGTTCCCAGACTCTTCACCATCTTGGTAGCCCTTCTCTGAATTTGCTCCAATTTATCTCTGTCTCTTTTGAACTATGGTGCCAGAATTGAATACAGTACTCTAACTGGGGTCTGACCTGAGCAGAGTGAAGTGAAGCAGTTATTTCCCTTTAATCTGGACTCTTTGACCTGTTACTGCATGCCAACATAATATTTGCCTTTTTAAAAAATTATAAAGGTTTTAAATTTTTAATTAAAAAAAACATTAAAGTTATTAAGAAGAACAGAATACTTAAAAACAATAGCAACGTGTGTGTTAAATGCCATTTCTAGTTTTATTACAAAGTACTATACATTGATGTATAGTACTTGACACAAGAATAATTCACAAGCTGCAGAATGAATATAAAAATACTATAAAACTCTCTTATACTTGTTGCTGGCGTGGTATCGGGACTATCATGAAAACAAATACAGAAGAGACTTATAGAGCTTGACTAAACCTAGGATATCTATTATTTGAGCACAAGCAACCTTTGTGAACATATTAAGTGGCTGTTTATTACTAATGATCACCTTAATGGAAAGTCATGCCATTAAGGAGACATTCTCCAACTCTTCAGGAGACATTCCATTCCAGATCAGCATTACTATCAAAGATGGGCACAGCAATGACACCCAGCAATCAATAATCAAGCTGCCTATACTGATGGATGACAATATCAGGAAAGGCCAGCGCTTGAAGATAATATTCCTGAGAATCTAAGAGAACATCCCCTCCATTCCAAAAAGGGAGTAAAATTGTAATAATATCCAAATTTGGACTAACAAAAAATTGCTGGTCAGAGGCAAACACAGCAGCAGAGTCTACTGAGCAATATAAGACAGCGGGGGGGGGGGGGGGGGGG